GCTGCTAGTACAAAACTGGGTCAAGTAGATCTAATGATCTGAACTGTTGACTGGATTCACCATCACACTGAGCCAGCACTAAACAGATCTCATTATGTCTTGCTATACCACATGATCCCAGTCACTAGATATAGATACTAGCTTCCTAGATTAGCTTTCATGGGCTGGGTTTCACACATCTTAAGTTAAAATGAGGTGGTTTAGTTGGCAGTTTGGTATATTGTGCAATCCCTGGCAATTGGATTAATTAAACAGAATGAAATATAATCTAGGTGAGTAATTTGTCTAGTAGCTGAAAAAACACATTTGAAATTATGTGGAGACAGTTCTGTAGTGTCAGAGAAAAAAGTCTACAATTTCTGCAAGTTTGCAAAATTTTAGGCTTCAAAAGTACCAAGAGAGTACTCTTTTTGTAACAAGTAGCCTCAAATTTTTGTATCAGTGACTGAAATCTTTAGGTAAGACCAAAAACTATTCTGCTATTGATAATCTACTAGACGGTGGAAAACAAAGGTCAACTCAGATGAAAAAAACCCTAGTCAAAAGGCAGATCTGAGAACAGGTACTAAGTAATCAAGGATGATTTCATGAATTCATGAAATGGATCCATGGAATGGATACTCCCATTTTGTCCTGTTTCAAATTCTAATATCTGTTATAGATTATACATTTATCCACATAAATGAAACCATATACACAAATGTTTATGGTCCTATTTATCTGTCTTGGTAGATCAAATGTCCAGATTATTCTTTTATGAGATATGCCATTTGAAAGCTCATCAAACTTTCTCTCTACCCCATATATACTGAACAAAATGAATGTCTTTCTTGTGCTTTTTAGTTTCTCAGGACTGAGTTGACTTTTTTCTCCCTCAGTGATTCATTGCTCCTTTTCTTTCATTCCTTTCCTTTCCCAATGCCAGTTCTGCATTGTTTCACACTAATGGAATGATTTTGCTTTCATTACATGCTTAATCCAGTTAATTCCTAATTCAAATCAGAATTTATGATGAGTGGTTCTTTTTAGCACATAGTCACAGGCTCAGTACTCATTATAATATTCAAGGAATAAGTAGCAGTGGTTGGCGAAAATAAGGGAAAAACAAGAAAACTTGCAAGCTCCAAGAACTCCCATTCACCCTGGGGGTGGGGGTGGGGTGTCTGTCTTGTTGACATTCTTCCTTTTAGCAGCTCCCTTCATATTCCATCTTTGCATCACCCTGACATTCAGCCTGATATACTGAAATGGCTCATGAGGAGATAAACATTCTTATACTCTTAACAAGAAAAACAAAATTTTGATTGGGGAGCTAAGCATTCCCACTGCAGCCAGAAACACTAAAGTCCATTCCCCCTAGACGCCGTCATCTACACCTGGCTGACATGCAGAAGGCCCGAAGAGCTTTGTTTATTTAATGTGTGTGAATGCATGGAGATATTTTCAGAGAGACCCTACTGCGGCTAGTTTCCCATTTGGTTTCATTGCTGACTCTTTCATTCTAGGTTTTAACCTTGGCTTCTGGAACAAATCACTGGAGTTGAGTTTGTGTTGCATTCTGCCCTAAATCATAGTCTTCAACCTAGAATAGCTTGGCTTACAAAACTTGCTAAGCCACAACCAGATAAATCACACTGTGATTTTAATAAACCTGTGAGTCCACTCAGTGTAAATGTTACGTATTAGTGGGACTGATGTTTCATTGGTTAAAAATATTAAAGGGCAAGCCTTAGCCTTTTATATAAAAGAAGCAGAGAGAACAGTGGCCACATAAAGGAACAGAGACTTATTCTTCTTTGGAAATATGAGCTTGAGATCTGATGATTCCAGGAGTTATCCTGGAAAATGTCTACATGCGGACACACATTTGAATAACATTTAGAGATGTTTAAAATTTAGGGATGACCTCTTGAGGTGCTCCTTGACATACTCAATGACTTGTGGAAGTATTATGCAGAATTTTTTCTAACTAAATCATTTATAAAGGTTATAATTCTGTTTTTTTGACATTTTAACTCATACTGTTCTGATTATTTAATGTAACTATATATGTTCAGTACATAAGAAGTATTTGCAGACTGGAACTAATCTTGATTTTGTCCAACTACAGTAATACAAACAGGGATGCGGTGGCTCAGTGGCTAAGACACTGAGCTTGTCGATCAAAAGGTTGGCAGTTCAGCGGTTCAAATCCCTAGTGCCACGTAATGGGGTGAGCTCCCGTTACTTGTCCCAGCTTCTGCCAACCTAGCAGTTCGAAAGCACGTAAAAAAATGCAAGTAGAAAAATAGGGACCACCTTTGGTGGGAAGGTAACAGCGTTCCGTGAGCCTTTGGCGTTTAGTCATGCTGGCCACATGACCATGGAGACGTATTCAGACAGTGCTGGCTCTTTGGCTTTGAAACGGAGATGAGCACCACCCCCTAGAGTCGGGAAAGACTAGCATATATGTGCAAAGGGAACCTTTATCTTTACCTTACAGTAATACATCGCTGAAAACACTCAATTCCCCTAAACTAAAGCAATAGCCTTTACGTGATTTCTGTACTATATTTGAAGGGATAGGACAATATATTAATTCTCTTTGCCAGAACTTATTTATAGCATACATAAGGTTGTAAATTAATTAAAAATGGGTCCAACTGATGTTCAGATAACATTTTCAACCTGAAGACTGCTAGCATGAATGTTCACACACTGCATATGAGAAGTTATTAACCAGTTTGTTGAACATACCACAGTAGCCTGGTTTGTACATAATACAAAGCTATAAGTGAGCTAAGTCCACACTAAGTCCAAACATGTAAACTGTTGTTAATTGTTTTAGTATTATGTAAATTAGGCTACAGACATTTGAGCCAGCCTGTTTAATTAAAGGACAGAAGAAGAATCCACATCTCCTGAGCTCAGCTGTGCAAAAGGTGAATGAAAGGATATTATAGTTTAACCAATCAAGCTAAGCAACCATGTCCTGCTAAGGATAATACTTGCATTTAATTTCTTTTTGCTAATAGAAGACAGCAGTCAGAGTCTTCCACAGATCATTATCAGACTGTTATATTTCTTTCTAGTTCAATTAGTTCATAATCCTTAGCTCTTTGATGAACGCCAGGTCAACAGACTGAAATTAAGGACAAGAGAATATAACCATAAAAACTGCACAATAATAGGCTGGGGTAATAGGAGTACTGAAATGTAGTTTTGAAAATGTAAAAAGAACAAATATTTAGGACATCTAAATGCTCAAATAGATTTTGCTTCAACTCTTTGAGTGTTTAGACACTTAATCTACTGTAAATGTTTCTTCTTTGTCTCCTTGTTCCAAGCTCAGTAGCATTAACTGGCATTCTGCACCATTAAGTTAAATACAATTGTTAGTAAGCCATACAGGATAACTAAAAACTACAAGGGGGGGATTCACACAATATACTAACTTCCAGAACCCTTCCAATAAGTTTAGAACAAGGAATTTGAAGTTTGAATTGTTTATAGATTGTTTGTACACCTATAATATTAATTGAGCATTATTGTGAGAGAATGGAAACTCTAAACAAACAGCAATAGACACTCGGGACAAGTGTATGCAGTTGCATGTAGCCATTTGAGGTGTGATTGATTCATTCAGAGTTCAGCAATACGGCAACTTATATATTTTGAACAGCTGAAGAACTGCTTCACTGAGTTCCTTCCTGCAAACTCTGAGTATTTAGCTCTTTCATATATCAGTTTCCCCATATCATTATATGCTTTCATCTCCTCCACATTGGAAAAAAAATTATGGATTATACATCTGGAAGTATGAACAAGTCTGATCGATCACAACTTGCCATGCACACCAAAAGTGAAATGGACCTCTTTTTTAAGGCAAATTAGACAACCCATGATCTATTAGGTCATTATTTTAGATCAGAGGTCTTCAAACTTGGCGGCTTTAAGACTTGTGGACTTCAACTCCCAGAATTCTACAGCCAGCTATGCTGTAGTCTTAAAGTCGCCAAGTTTGAAGACCTGTTTTAGATACATTTTCTTCCCAAATTCCTCAGTGCCTTCAGCCATGTACTGCTTTCATTGGAAAATTCAGGGAAATGTTTTTAGAGTTATATCTTCACTTGAAAATAGCCCCTTGTTAAACTGCATAGCATAAACATGAGGATTTATAAAATTTTATAAAATGATTTATAAAATTTACCAAATTTCAATTGGCTGTTATGTGTTTTGGATTTTGGACACAATCAGTAAATTAAGAACATTTGAGGTACCTTGGTTCAAAAATTCTTGCTCTATGATGTACTGTTTCACCCAGTTAAAGGTTACAGACATGAATTTGGTAGTATATAGATCAGTTCATTAGCTCTAACAAATTAGTTTTAACAAATGCAAAAAGTAGAATAAGAAATAGTGGTAGATCTTTGGATAATTTTGCTACAAGTCAGCATACATGCCCGACATAACTGTCTAATGCAGCATAAAAAACTTTTTTTATTCTAGATAGTTGAGGAAAAAAATTGAAAGAAAATGGTTGCAACCAAGAAAACATCTGGATCTCTATTATTTTGGCTGGCATATGAATGTCACCAAGTTGGTAAGGTGGGTAAATGCCTCTATGTGCATCATATTCCACAAGTGGCTCAAGTTAACAGATGTCATTGTGCAATAATAAATTCCTCTAACGATATCATAATGCCATGTGATGTCATGTGGCTTGTAATAGTTACCTATGGGACAACCATATAAATAGAAGCTGGCTATTCCTTTATTCTTAGCATATGCCTACTGTATACCATTACATTTCATCTCAACTCTTCACTGGTGGGCCTTGGGATCCTGGTCAACAATCTAAGTCCTACAAGGATGTGACCTGGCATAGTGGAATTACATGGCTTTCCTTTCATCAAACAGCCCACCAGATAACAGAGGGCATATTATCTCACAGAAGGAACAAGAATTGCAGCCGTCAGAATTAGGCTTTCCAGGAATCATAAGAGCAACTATCAAGTCTCTTCTCCATCATTCATTTATTATTTTATTGAATAGCCGAACCTCTCATATTTTCACATAGGCAGATAATATGTGTACTGAAATACACACTATCATTTCTCTGGATATATCCAGATCAAATTGGCAATTTTACTATTATTATTTGCATATAAAAATATGCATATGTTAATAGTAAAATATAGCCACTGATAGGGTAAACAAGAATATAGTCCCCCTTTTTTTCCTACGCAACGAAGTAGTTTTGGGGAAAACAATGTTGTTCATTTGTCAAAGTTAAATGATAACTGTTAAATATCCAACAGGCTATGTTCAAGTTGTATTACTGTATTTCATGTCAAAGATTTTTTTTGCCTGAAATAAGTTCATTTATTTTTCTCAGATCTCCAAATGATGCTGTTGCAGAACCTCTCTGTGCTGGTTGTGCCTGAAAAGGAGAAAGAAGTTGTCATTTTAAATATTAAGAACCAAGTATTAGGTAAAATAATATGGTTTTAGTTTTTTTTTTTTAAAGTCAACTAAAAACCCTAATACACTCTTATTTAGCCATCCTACGTATTAAATGGAAGGTAAATATTACCTGTGATTTGTGGAATTTCCATCCTATCATATAATATATCTGAAACGTTGCTGGTATTGTCCCATCATTATTTCCATACAATTCTGTAAAAAAAAAATATTTTGCATTTATTTCATTGCAGCAGCAAGAAATACAGCAGAAACCTACCTAATCTATTATAAAATAAGTGATTTATATCCAATTCAAGGCAGCTTGATGCTTCAAATGTATTGGTTCAACTCCCTGTGCCAGCAAACTTATCAAATATAAGGAACTCTCAAAAGAGAACACAAGTGAATGCAATGGGGTTCATTGGAATCACACCAGCCCCCTTGGCCTAAATCCCTCTCCCTTTCCTGTCTCTGAGCTCAACACTGGTTGTGCTACCCAAATGGGACACTGATAACAATGGCAGTCTGTGAGAAGAATTAACAAAGAATGAAAACTTTATATCATAACTATATTTTACTGACTGTAGCTTTCCATTCTCTCTTTAGTATTAGGGCCAGTGGATTACACATCTGTGCTGGAATGGTACATTCAATGGTGCTTAAAGATTTGTGAACCTTTTTGAATTTTCAATATTTTTGCATAAATGTGACTTAAAACCTGATTTGTTCACCACACAAGTCCTAAAGCTGATAAATAAAACCCTATTAAACAAATGGGTCAAAAATGTTATATTTGCTCAATTATTTACAGGGAAATTATCCAAAGCTACATATTTGTGTGTGGTAAAAGAATGTGAGATGTTTTTACAGGTAGTCCTTAACTTACGACTGGTTTTTTAACGATGGTTTGAAGTCACGACAGCCTCAGACAAAGTGACTTACAACCTGTCCTCCAAGTTATGACTGTTACACCAACCCATGGTCATGTGATTGCAATTTGGGCACTTGAGAACTGGCTTGCATGTACAACAGCTGCAACAAGTTATGATCACACGTTCACAATTTGCAATCTTCCCAGCCAGCTTCTGACAAGCAAACTCAATTGGGGAAGTTGGATTTGCAACAACATTAAAATGGTCATAAAACCGTGTTCAGTCAGGTAGACTTGCTTAGAAACCACATTACTTAGTCATCAAAATTATGGTCTCCAATTGTGATCATAATTCAAGGACTGTATACTGCCCAAAGAGGTACTCCAGCTACAGAAAGCAAACTTTTTCACAAACTTTTAAGCACCACAGAAAAGATGGTGGGACAGAAAATTGCATGAAATGAGCAAGCTTGAAAATATAGAGTGACAAAATCTACCTCCATGTGATAAAGATGAGTTACTTCATCTTCATGGAGTTACATCCCAACCTCCAGTCTGCGGCCTTGTGGTGGGCCACAACCTGTTCGGAACTGAGTCGTGGACTGATGGGCGAGTGCGTGTGTGAGAAGCTGCCTTTGTGAAAATGGAGTGCGGGGATAAAACCATCCCTCTCCCTCCCTTTCCCTCCCCACTTCTGCTGGTCCACCGAGAAAGGTTGGAGGCCGCTGTATTACTTAATAGAAAGTTCATACCCTTATATACTGCTGCAGCTGCCAACATGGTCGCTCTATGTATCATAGGTTTCCTGTTCCAACAGCAATTACTTTCTCCCATACCTAAAAACAGTTTTAGGCTTTAAAAGATACAGCACACACCATCAGTTGAATATTATTTCAGCAATATGAATAGGATCAGATGAGCGCAAATGTTTTAAAATAACACCAAAGATCTTATTTCTGCTTACTCAAAGACAAATTTATCCATCAACAATGAGGTTAACATGCAGGACTGCAGCCCCAGTAAATAGTCTTTAGCCCAAAAATCTCCTTATAAATTTATATACACTAAGATTAATGAACCCAATGAAAATTGGGACCTATACAAAATAAAAAGTTAATATGATTTACCAGTAAACAATTTTCTATGAAAATGTCTTCAGAACACCTGCAGCATAAAACTTCCAATATATACATATACCTTCCTTCTACAACAGAACAATGCTTTATATGTCACCTGGGAGATAAACTCTGCTAAATTCAGTGGAATTTATTTCCAGCTAATTGTGCTTAAAAGTGCAACCGATGTTTCTCTTTAATGTACAGATTAATCAAGACAGTTACAACCCAGCTCGCAAAGCATTTCCTTTAACTATTTAAGGGAAGAAAAGATGTAAGAATTCAGTGTAATTGAAAATTATTCTGGTGAATCAAGTCTAAGCAGAAATGTAAAACCTTTACTTGATGTATGGTGATAGCTCTGTTGTATTAATATATATATATATATATATATATATATATCTTAAGTGGAACCAGCAAATTGGCCTTCAACAAATCTATAATTTAGACCCACAAAATGCCTATTGGAATGTATGGGTCACTGCTACGGCTTATTTATTTAAAAAAATCACTCTGGCACACCCTAGGTCAGAGATGAGCATCTTTTGAGGGAAGGGACAGCATATAGCTTTTTTCAACTGTTTCTAGAGGAAGGAAGGGGGTGCTAACAGTGCCATGGTGTGGTGCTGCAGGGTACAACTTTTGGGGAGCATACATCAGGGGTGGGTTCTACTTACCTTTATTACCATTTTGCAATGGGGCCGTACGCGCATATGCAGAAGCTTTTGCGCATGCACAGAAGCTTCCTGATAACATCGGGGGTCAGAGCCTCCCACCGGTTTTACTACCGGTTCTATAGAACTGGTCAGAACCGGGGGCAACCCACCACTGGCACACATGCAATGCTGTGATGCCTGGAGAAAAGAAGCAGGACTTATGTCCCAATGATGCTTTTGTCATCTGACATCCCCCCGCCCCCTTCTCCTTTGCCGTCCCCCTCCAGATACGGCTACAGGGTGGTTAGCAGGGAAAAAGGGAGTTGTGGCTTCTAAGAGATAAATTGTTACAATTCTCATTTTTAAAACCCTCCCCAAACTTGGAGGATGTCCAAAAATAATACCTACCCCCAAATTTAACCACTTTACTATTAATCTCTTTGGCATAATTTCAGAATTTACCATTTATTTTAAAAATGTGAGCATAGCATATAGAGGTTTTTGTTTTTTTCTTTGAATAAGTTAAACACGATATGCAGAACTGTATACTATCAATCTTAACAGGATATGAAAAAGTAGACTGCAAGGGTAAATTACATTATGCATCTCTAAGTCCTGAAATGTATATTACTTCTATATTTATATACTTTTCATTAATTTCTCCTGAAAGAGTATATTCATTCTCATCAATATACTTCACAGTTCAATAATAAAGTAATAAGCCCTAATTTATTTCTCCAAATGAAGTCAAATCACTTTGGTAGCTCACTGTTTAAAAAAAAAAACCTGGAACTTGCCTTGTAGATCAGCCATAATTTCAAACATTCCTGGATAGTTAACTTGGATTTCATCTGAATCCTGGAAATAGTAAATAGATTTTTGACAATCCCCAGAACAAAACATATGAACTTTAAAAATGGGACCTTAGAAATAAATAAATGAGGTCAAATCCAATATTGCTAATTGAGTTTTTTCCATCCTACATACCGCTGCATATCATAAAATACTTTTTTAAAAATTGAACTGGAGAACCACCTATCAATAAAATACTAACATTGAACATTGACAGAAGAATAATCTGTTTGGATATGAAAAAAACTACAACAAACCTCACAAATGATAGTTTTACTCCAGGTTATATAGAAAGAGTAGTAGGCCAGCAAGCTAGTTAAACAGAAACCTGAGGCACTAGCTAGGAGAGAGACGCTGGTCTTATGTACCACGCTAAGCCTTATCATGGTCTGATTGGCTACTGTGATTTGTAAATCAAAGACTGGGATTTGGTGTTGTGTGTAAACTTGGACAACGTAGTTCATTTGACAAGCTATGGCTTATTGAAATGTGATGCTGCAATTCATCTCCTCCCCTGCTTTCTTTCATCCCCGAGATTGTAAAGTTAGGAGACTTCAACCCAACTTCCCCTCTGCTAGGGACTTGAAGCAGCTCAGGAGTTCATAACCACAAAAACAACTACAGGCCTGACCAACTTATTAAGAGACTGATGTACATGAAAGGTCACGGAATAGATCTAGTTTCTAATGTGTGCAGACACAAATTAATTGGAAAATATGGGGGGGCGGGTTGTTTGTTAAATTTCACCACCTCTCACAGAGGATATTTTCTTATTATCATTTCAATTTGTATGTTGCCCAACTCCCAACAATTCTAGGCAATTACAATAAAGATGTTTTAAAAACATTTTGTGTGTTTATTTTAAAGGCAAACAAAACAACTACAGTTGCAAGAAAAAGTATGTGAAACCCTTGGGATTACGTGGAGTTTTGCATGAATTGGTCATAAAATGTGCTCTGAACTTCATCTAAGTCACAACAATAGAAAAACACAGTCTGCTTAAAATAATACTACACAAACATTAGATGTTGCCATGGTTTAATTGAACATAACATGTAAATATTCACAGTGCAGGGAGGAAAAAGTATGTGAACCTTTGGACTTAATAACTGGTTGACCCTCCTTTGGCAGCAATAACCTCAACCAAACGTTTCCTGTAGTTGCAGATCAGACCTGCACAACGATCTGGAGTAATTTTGGACCACTCCTCTTCACAAAACTGTTTCAGTGTAGCAATATTCTTGGGATGTCTGGTGTGAATCGCTCTCTTAAGGTCATGCCACAGCATTTCAATCGGGTTGAGGTCAGGACTCTGACTGGGCCACTCCAGAAGGCGTATTCTGTGCTGTTGAAGCCATTTTTTTTTGTTGAATTACTTGTATGCTTTGGGTCATTGTCCTGTTGCATCACCCATCCTCTTTGGAGCTTCAGTTGGTGGACAGATGGTCGTACGTTTTCCTGCAAAATGTCTTGATAAACTCTGGAATTCATTTTCCCATCAATGACAACAATCCGTCCAGGCCCTGAGGCAGCAAAGCAGCCCCAAATCATGATGCTCCCTCCGCCATGTTTTACAGTGGGGATGAGGCTTTGATGTTGGTGTGCTGTGCCTTTTTTTCTCCACACATAGTGTTGTGTGTTCTTCCCAAACAACTCAATTTTGGTTTCATCTGTCCACAGTATATTTTGCCAGTAGTGCTGTGGAACATCCAGGTGCTCTTTTGCAAACTTCAAACGTGCTGCAATATTTTTTCTGGACAGCAATGGCTTTCTCCGTGGTGTCCTCCCATGTACTCCATTCTTGTTTAATGTTTTCCTTATTGTAGATGTGTCAACAAAAATGTTAGCATGTGCCAGAGATTTCTGTAGGTCTTTAGCTGACACTCTAGGATTCTTCTTTACCTCATGAAGCATTCTGCGCTGTGCTCTTGCAGTCATTTTTACAGGACGACCATGCCTAGGAAGAGTAGCAACAGTGCTAAACTTTCTCCATTTGTAGACAGTCTGTCTTACCGTGGACACATGAACATCAAGGCTTTTGGAGATACTTTTGTAACTCTTTCCAGCTTCATGCAAGTTAACAATTCTTGATCGTAGGTCTTCTGAGAGCTCTTTTCTGCGAGGCATGGTTCACATCAGACAGTGCTTCTTGAAACCAGTAAACCCAAAACAGGTGTGTGTTTTCAAAGGGCAGGACAGCTGTCAGCAACACATCCAATATCATCACACTGATTGGAGTCAAGGTTGGCTCACTCCTGTCTCCAATTAGCTCTTGGAGAAGTCATTAGGCTAGGGGCTCACATACTTTTTCCTCCCTGCACTGTGAATTTACATGTTATTTACATGTTATGTTCAATTAAACCATGGCAACATCTAATGTTTGTGTAGTATTATTTCAGGCAGACTGTGTTTTTCTATTGTTGTGACTTAGATGAAGTTCAGAGCACATTTTATGACCAATTCATGCAAAACTCCACGTAATCCCAAGGGGTTCATATACTTTTTCTTGCAACTGTATACACAGTAAAGATGGCAAGGATGACAAAAAACAGATGGGAACAATTTGAAAACAAATCCACACAATGCAAAAGGGTGGTGTCACTCATCCTCACCAGTCAGATTACTCTCTGACTGCCATGGAATTTTACAGCGTGATCCCACTTTCTCCAGTGGGGAAAGATAGGTCAGAGGGCATTTAGGGAATCTCCTAAGAGTCTGGTATGCAGTTTGATTATGATCATCCATTGGACCAATGGGTCATGTAGAGGGCTGGACTAAATTACACTCTCTGCCTGGAGATCCACTGTAGTTTCTTGTTTTACTGAGGAGATGAGAGATATGAAGTGATTGAGAAGATACCTGAACACAGCTGGAAGGCCCATCTCATCTCTGATTGGACACTGATATAAGCTCATGTTTCGCAGCAAAACCAAAATATGTTGCCATCCTACTGCTATCCAGCAACTTGTTCCTTTCTCAAGAATGTTTGACAAGACTGGCACCTGAAGGGTTGTTGTGAAGAATCAGCATTAAAACTGCTTAGATTTAATAGGAGCTAGACTTCATCTGGACTAACACAATGAAAAGTTGTGGGATGTCATCTTGTGATCTGGAATCATTATGGATTTGTGAGTTCCAAGGAAGTAGATAGAACCCTCTGCAGTGCCAGTCTCACCACTTCTTATCTGTTCCTGATAACTGGCTAAGGTTTCCTGTAAGATAGCGGGAAGTTGGATTGAAGCAATAATAAGTCCTTCCTTGAGGGAAGGATTGTTTTCCTCATCTCTGAAAAAGTCTGTAGTGTGCCATCGACTTAATAAACATTTATTCCAGTCAACTATTTTGGTCTTTAGATCCATCCCCAACCTTTCTTTTTAAAGAAATGTTGTGTGTGTGTGGGGGGGGGGGAACATGCTTCTACACAGCCTTAGAGGAAACAGATTATTTAGATCCTTGACAGTCTGGTGTCAGGTCAGGATACACCACAGAAATTGTATTGACCATGCTTGGTGGTGTCTGAGGTTGGGGAAGCACAATCCTCATTGATTTCTTTTGGTACCATTGATCATACTGGAATATCCCTGAATGACTGGAAAGGGGGGCATTCAACTACTTTGGTTAAATGAACAGGATAGGGAAACTTGAACAATCTGAGACTTCGAAGTCCTTCTGCTAAAATCCAGGAGACTTCAGCAGGTAAAAGCTCTTCTCCCTCAGATCTAGATCCATGGAGAAGCCTATCAGAGATCCACACTGAGGTTCAGCCAAATCTCTATAGATCAATTGCCAAAGTTAAGTACAGGTAGTCCTCGATTTAGAACAGTTCATTTAGTGACTGTTCAAAGTTACAACGTCATTGAAAAAAGTGACTACTGAAGTCACTTTTCACACTTTCACATTTCACACTTACGACTGTTGCAGCATCCTCACAGTCATGTGATCAAAATTCAGATTCTTGGCAACTGTCATATTTAAAACAGTTGCAATGTCCCAGGGGATCATGTGATCAGTTTTTGTTACTTTCTGACAAACAAAATTAACGGGGAAGCCAGATACACTTAACATAACCATGTTATGTAATAACCATGTAATAACCATGTTATTAACAACTGAAGTGATTCACTTAACAAGTATGACAAGAAATATCGTAAAATGGGATAAAATTCACTTAACAAATGTCTTATTTAATATCAGAAATTTTGGGCTCAATTATGGTCTGGTTCATATGTTTGCTTGGCATAAGGCATACACTACAACTTAAAAGATTTCTTTCAGTCAAAGCAAGATAACAAGTAGTGATTAACATCTGTTGTAGTTTTCTGGAATGTTCCCTTCTTGTAATGGATAATTACCACTGTCAGTGTGTTGAAGCCAGCTCTTCCCAGTAGATGTCCTAGATCACTCACAGCTGTAAAAGGAGACACATGTGGAGAAAATCCACCTTCTCTTTCTAGTTCTGCTAGTTGCAAAGAGCAGCGAAGCTGAAAGAGTGTGTCACCCCCAAACATAGAACCAATAAATACTCCATCAGGTTTAAGGACTCGGTGCACCTAAAATAAATCATAATTAAACCAGGCATTAATAAAGCTCTAATGTAGCTCTAATACCTACATTTTGATGGTAAGGTCTTACTTCAGAGTAAACACCACCAATCTCATGGTAATGCAGCATGCCACTGAAAGTCACTGTACAATGCTTGGACCTACTTCATTCTTAAATTCCACAAAATCTCATTGGACATGTAACACAAGAAATATTTAACTAATGCATTTGCAGAAATTAGTAGAATTGGAATGGGCCATCCAGTTTGATCTAGGGATCCAAATTAATATATCTCAATTGTTATGAAAAGTATTATATGAGATAAGTTCATCAATGAATTGCCCCCAAACATCTGGATCAATATTCTAATTCAGAAATGAGCAATCTTTTTGGCTCTGAAAATTATATGTAGAAGCAGCTACAAGTCAGGGCTATATACTGTATCAATAATATACCCACACATCAGGGGTGAAATCCAGCAGGTTCTGACAGGTTCTGGAGAACCGGTAGTGGAAATTTTGAACTGTTCAGAGAACCGGCAGCGGATATTTTGAGTAGTTCGGAGAACTGGCAAATACCACCTCTGACTGGTCCCAGAGTGGGGTGGGAATGGAGATTTTGCAATATCCTTCCCCCAGGAGTGGGAAGGGAGTGGGGATTTTGCAGTATTCTTCCCCTGGAGTGGAGTGGGAATGGAGATTTTGCAGTATCCTTCCTCTGCCATGCCCACCAGCCACGCCACGCCACACTCACCAAGCCACGCCCACAGAACCAGTAGTAAAAAAATTTGGATTTCACCACTGCCACACATGTATATGCATGCAAAAAGAGGTGTCCCCCAAATCAGACAGCAGACTCCTTTTCAAATGAGAAATAAATATCTGGGTGGGACTCCTGGCAGAAAAGCTTTTAACTTTTGTATCCAATGATCTCACTTCAGCCAAGGGTTTCTAGTAGCAACAGTACTTAGACTTATATACTGCTCCACAATGTTTTACAACAGCCTCTGAGCGGTTTGTAACATCACCTTATTGCCCCCAACAATCAGAGTCCTCATTTTACTGACCCTGGAAGGATGGAAAGCTGAGTCAACCTTGAGCTGGTCAGGATCGAACTCTTGGCAGTAGGCAGAGTCAGCCTGCAAAACTGTATTCTAACCAGTGCGCCACCAAAGCTCCAATGTTATTATTCACAGGGAAAAAGCACAAACCTTGAGACAGGATGGGAGAGTAAGAAAGGAGTAAAAAAAAATTGCACTTCTGTTGTTGTTGTTGTTGTTGCTGCTGCTAGTAGCTGTCAGAAGAGCACTCTTTTCCTTCCCATCTGGTAATCAATTGGAAGCAAAGAAAAGAATGTGGGCCATCTGGGTTGTATAGAGTGACTATGGTTACATGTGGGTTATGGATTACCGAATTCTGCCCTGAACTTTATCCACTTTGCTGTATTAACTGTGAGCAGGTGAGGGCATTACAGGTAGACTGACTTTGCAGGTAGTCCTTGACTTATGACTGTTTGTTTGAAATGACAACCTTGAAAAAGTCACCTACAAACTGTCCTTGAAGTTACAACTGTCATACTACACCTGTGGACATGTGATTGCAATTTGGATGCTTGACAACCGGCTTACATTTCTGATGGTTGTAGTGTCTTGTGGTCATGTAACTACAATTTGCAACCTTTCCAGTCGGATCCAACAAGCAAATTCAATTAGGGAAGCCAGATTCGCTTAATGATTCACTTAGCAACCATGTGATTCACTTAACAACTGCGGTGATTTGCTTAACAACCAGGGAAAAAATGGTTGTAAAATCAAATCTGAACACATGATTACTTGCTTAACGACTGCATTGCTTAGTAACTGAAATTCTGGTCCCAATTGTAGTTGTAAGTCAAGGACTACGTGTATAGAAAGTAAGATCTGTATCAAAATATTATAGGTCAACCTGATTTCTGTTGGAAATACGCACAAGGAGGCTACTTATTCCACCCCTTTCTGTTTTTCTTTGCTTCTGTCAACTCGCACTCAATGTATCATTATTGAGTGAATAGCATAATCAGCTATTAGCCATACACAATTCTTGCTGAGTTTAGGAAGCTTGCTTTGACAATTTTGTTGTTGCTTTAGGAATACACTGATGTAGTTTCCTTGGTAACTGTAAGGATGTAGCTTATTACTGCCACCTTCTGGGATGTCATTTCAACCTCTCAGTCTAGTCCCCAGACTTCTTGTCCCTCTCTCATCATAGAATTAACTGGGCCTGAACCAGCTTAGCTTCTGAGCCCAAGCAAGGTCAGTCAGGAGCTGCCATCTACCTGCTAAAACGATCGTTAAGATGAAGTGTTATTGTCTCCATTATATCAATAGGTTATAGGGAGGGGACAGATGTACTTACTTCATGCAAGGCTTTGGGAAGATCATTGACCCAATGCAAACTAAAAAGTAAATACAATAGAAAGCAAGTTAATAAAAGGCAAAAAAAACCACTATCTCACCAGTGTAAATTTTAGATGGCAAACTCAGACTGGCATATTGGCACAAGAAAAATATACCACATGAGAGCTGCATTTACATAATATACCAAGAGAATGACCTTAAGTAACATAAACACACATGGCATCATTTCTGATGTGCATTTCACCCGAAATTTCAGTTTCACTGTATTGTGCAAATTCAAAACAGACCCCATCTTGGATCCCTTTAACTTAAAATGCATAGTGATGTAGAGACTAGTATTCAAACTTTCCTCATTTTTTACTGCAGATAACACGCCACACTTCCTAAAACAGTGTTCTGGAAAGGCTGCAGGAGTACATGTAATAGTCAATTTTCTTTATATTAATCTTCTGGCCTCTCAATTATAAATTACACTCGCCAAGCTTGTTCTTGTAGCAGGCCAGATATTGTAGAAGGGAGGCTGAGCCGAAGGGAGGGGTCAAACGCGTCATCAGTCATGAGTCCCTGCGCCCCCACAAGAGATCTAAGTTCAGCCTACCTTGAATTCCTTAACTCCCGCTTATTTCCTTTGACCACTAATAGTTCAGATTTTTGTTGAGGGCTTAAGCTTGCAATGAATCTTTATACTCATTTGAACTGCCTGAATCTCTTGATTTTCTCGGTGCTTGACAGATATTATACTAACACACAAAACTGCAACCTCAGGAACAGTTTTAGAACCTAAAGCTCCCAATTACAAAAATCACTATTCTCATTATAAATGGTCTACTTTAATTCAATTGTTAATTACCTCAGACTGCTGACAATAAGGTTAAATGTGTTTTCTTTGAAAGGAAGAAATTCTTCATCCGCTATGATATTGACTCTTGGTATTTCTGAATCTATTGTGTTCTTCTAAATTGGATTAGAAGAAAAATAATTTAGGTTACGAAAATTCAACTTTTCCGTAGCATGAGTTAATATCTGATAAACAGCATGCAAATCTTACCAGAGCATTTTCAGCGACATCTGATTGAAAAAGCCTTTCAACAACATCCTGAGAGAAAAATAGGTGATAAATAATTTACAGTTATTTTATTGATTTTATTTAGGAAACTTAGTTAAGTTTGTTTGACTAGCCAGAAGAAAAATAAGAGTACTGTGTTGTATGTGATAAGGCTGTTTCTTCGCTAAAGGATAATATTGTATATATGTGCCATTAAACTATTTATTTGCGTTCGTTATTTTGTTAAAATAATACTTCTGAAACATTGCATTTTAAATAATTGATCTATGGAACTACAGTCACTCGTCTAAAACTACCTAAAAACATTTTAGAAAAGCAGGTATTTGGGGAATTAAAACATGCTCAAAACTACAGACCTCTATTTTTTTATCTGAGAAAGCCATTTTAATTAGCTGAAAGAGGCTTCTGATCAGATACAGAAAAGAAAACACTATTAGGATTCTCTGCCCACCCCAGAAAACCCCACGTATTGTAAGTAATGATAAGTAATTCCAATCTTCTGCATAATTACTTAAAAATCCAATTGAACCAATGAGGCTTACTTCTTTGTGACCATACAGTATATCAAAAAGCTGAGACTATAAGACACAAAATGATTAAACAGGAGTGACATTTGTTACATCTTATTTTGAGCATGCAACAAATTGCTTAGTTCAGTTGTCTGATTCAAATTGACAAGGTTAGGGAGGTTCCCACAACATATTAAGTCCTAATGTGATCTGTCTAGCTGCAGCTTCATGCGTTGTAGAAACCCAAGCATTCTGGTTTTTAACCCATGGTTTATTATTTTGATGTATTGTGTAAATCAGCCAAATGTGATTTCAATAGAAGAGAATATTGTTATTTATTAAGTAATCCACAATCTAACAGGTTGTACTGCATGAATAAAACCAAACTGAAAAAAAAAAAAAAAAAAAAAAAAAGCGCCTAATACCTTGTTTAAATGCTGAGCAATGTAGCTTCGCCCACACCCAAGGTCCAAGGCAAGGGGAAATGTCCTTAAGAATGAAAAATAGAATAGGATTAAGGTGCAAAATTGCAAATCAATCATCTACTTTAACCTAAATTTCAAAGATGTATTGCCTCATTGAAGAGGGCTGATATACAGCTTAATCTGATAGCTGCAGCAAATGGAAAACAGAATGCTTCTTTCACTGCAGAGAACCTTTCTCCTTTTAGGATTATTACAAGGTTTTAAATTCTCTCTAAAACTATATTAAGCATATTTTAGGGCTTATACTATGGTTCTGTTTCCTGGTTGAAAAGTGTGAGAATATTTCCCACATTTGGGTTACTGCGATTGGTGAAGATTTCCAGAATCCCAAAACCAGGTATGGTATGCAACGGGAGGTTTCAGATTTGCCCAGTTTTGTTCGATATGCAGAGTGAGAACAATGAGTAGTATTTACAGTGAGATCTGAGCTTCATGTAAGTCAGGGGTCAGCAACCTTAAACACTCAAAGAACCACAAAGGTCCTAACCGGAAGCCCCCCATTCAATTATGGAGCCAACCAGAAGTCTGGTTCCTCCACGATATAGTCTCCTCCTAGCGCGGCGTCATTTTTTCCTCTGCCGACCGGGAGCTGCAACAGAGGGATGAAAGAGCCACATGCAGCTCCAGAGACACAGGTTGCCAACCCCTGATCTAAGTTGTATGAATAGACAGAGATTCCAATTAAATAGAAACACGGATTTTGTCATATCTCCACTCAACAACCTGAGCCAGCACTATTTTTATAGGAAAGGGGATGTGAGGTTTTAATGACTTCAATCAAACATGCCAACATGGTTTTACAGTTCTTTTCAGCTTCATGAGCATCAAAACGTTTTTTTGGTGGATTAGATCTCTTTTGATGGGGTCATGATTCACTTCTACAATCCTGTGTTAAGAAGACCATGTTCTTGGAGTGGTAAGCAAAGTGTGTAAATGTATAAAAAAAGGGCCTCAAATCCACATCTGGTTGACTCAACTGAGTCAAATGAGCTGATTATTCTAGAATTTCACATAATTTTAAAACATTGCCTCAGTATTTACAATACAGGCTTGAGACAGTGCATGTTTTGTGCTGTATGCTGTTTGTTTAATCAGAATCTTTTTATTTTACAGACAGCTCTGATTGCACTATAGGTCACAATATTTCAAGATTATAGATAATACTAAAGAGTTCATAATTTTTTTTCTCCTGTTCCCATATCCGCAAATAGATCTGTCTCAGTGGTGGGTTTCAAATTCTTTTACTACCGGTTCTGTGGGTGTGGCTTAATGGGTGTGGCATGGCTTAGTGGGTATGGCTTAGTGGGCGTGGCAGGGGAAGGATACTGTAAAATCCCCATTTCCTCCCGATTAGCTGGGACTTGGAAGGCAGAGAAAAGATGGGGCCAGGGCCAGTCAGAATTTTTACTACCGGTTCTCCGATCTACTCAAAATTTCCACTACCAGTTCTCCAGAACTGGTCAGAACCTGTTGAAACCCACCTCTGATCTGTCTACCATTTAAGGGGCGGGGCTTTAAGGTAGGTAAGGGATATCTGACCAGGCTTCTGTTCGGAAAAAGACAGAGCAACCTAGTCACATCTGCTTCATAGATCAGAATGCCATTGTCCTCATTTTTCAATACTGACAAGATAAAATGTAAAGAAGTTCAAGTAACAAACTAAATAGAATAATTTTACATTATACATATAAATAAAATTTATATTATACAGACAAGTCACCTCATTTTGTAGAGAAAAAACACAAGGTAAAATCTTACTTGGCTATGTCAAACACACGATCGGCCATCCTACCACCAACCTAGCATGCAGAAAAAAAATATCTATTAGAAGATAGACACTGCCACTGATAGAGTCTTTCAAGAGGAGACTGGACAGCCGTTTGTCGGTATAGCTCTTCTGCTCGAGTAGAGTGGGACTAGATGACCTCTGAGGTCCCTTCCAATTTTGTTATTCTATATTCTGTATTCTAGTTTTGCTATATTTTTGCAATCTTAATATTTGGCATAGGATTTGGGGAAAATGTTGAAACTATTACAGAGGTCCCACTTTGGGCCAAGTCACAGCATTAGTGCTACTAGAAGTACACTGTAATAATCCAGATGACCATTAGAGCTAATATTTTCTATTCTTTGCTGCCATCATGTGGTCTAAAAAAGGTTTGCATCCTAGTTCTGATAAATCTAATAATGGAAATGGTCCATAGTATAGTGCAGTTGTGGCAAATCTTTTTGCCGTCGTGTGCCAAAAGCGGGGGAAGTTCAAGGGGGTTGCATGCGTGCGTGCCCATACTCATAATGCAATGCCCCCTGCAGCCCGTGCATGCGCGCAGAATCCCCCCACCCCCCACATCCTGTTTTGGGCCTAGCAGGCCTCCCTCAAGCCTCTGGAGGCCAGAAACGGCCCATTTCCGGACTTCCGTTAGGCCCGTTATTTGCCCTCCCCAGACTCCAGAAGCTTTCCTGGAGTCTGGGAGGGCGAAAATGGCCTCCCCATGTCCTCCAGAGGTCCTCCAGAGGCCAGAAATGGGCCGTTTCCGGACTTCTGGGAGGCCTGTTTTTCACCCTCCCAGAGCCTCCGTGTGAGCCCTGTACTTATCTGGCATCCAAAACGGGCCGCATGGAGACTCCTGGTAGGGGAGGGGTGGGACCAGCCAAAAATCAGCTGGCCAGTGCGCGTGCATGCGCATTGGAGGTGACCTAGGGCAATGGCTCATGTGCCCTGAGAGATGCTCCGTGTGCCACCTGTGGCATGCGTGCCGTAGGTTCGCCATCATGGGTATAGTGGTACCTTGGTACTCAATTGCTTTGAAATTAATCAAATTTGGTACTCAATGCATTTTGAAACTAAAATTTTCTTTTAGTACTCTTCATTTTTTTGGTATTCAACACACAAGCTAGAACTTGTCAGTGTCGGCTACCTTGAGACTCACTACATTATTCCTTATGGGAAAAAATTGTTTGGTACTCATAGGTTTTGGTTCTCACCGTGGCTCCCAGAACTAATTAACGATGTGTATTAAGGTACCACTGCACTTACTATGTTGCATGAATTCACATCAGCAGTTTTGTTAAATTGTAAATCATGAATTTAGTTTTAATGCAATGTGTGAATAATCGGACTGCAATTTACTCAACAACATATCAAGGATGAACAAATTGTGGCATCTAATCAAATAAATCACAATTTATAAACATTTTTGGTATCAGTTTATTAATTTTAAGGTATCTTTTGTTTTTTTGTGGCATTGTGTGTTTTTTAGTGTCATCAATACTTTGAGTTAGCGTTGACTCATAGCAATTGCCTGTAGTTTTTTTGGCAAGGCTTTTCAGAAGTGGTTTGCCTTTGCCTCTGTCCTGGGGCTAAGCGTCCCAAGGTTAGCCAGCTGGCCTTGTTTCTAAGACAGCAATAGAAATCAAAGTCCCCAGGTTTCTAGCCTGGCGCCTTAACCAACTGTAAGTAATTCTTGCTTTACATCTACAATGGGGACCAGTCTCTCTGTTGCTAAGCAAAGCCGTTGAGTTGTGCCCAATTTTACTATTTTGCCTTGATTGTTAAATGAATCATAAATACACGGCAAGCTCCTGCCAAGCTCCTGAATTTTAATCACATGACTTTGGGAATGGTGATATGGTCATCTCATCTATCACTTTTTTCAATGCCTTTGTAACTTTGAATGGTCACTAAACAAATGCTTGTAAGTCAAGGACTACCTGTTTAGGACACTGCCTGCTTTTTTTCTTCTTCTTCATTTTAAGGTTACACAGAACTAAAGAGTTGCTTTTGTAGATCAAAAGTGTTGACATCTCCTGTACATCTCAATCACCAAAGGAAGGTCAAAATCAAAACGACCTTGAATCTAACCCCAGCAATTTACTTACTTAACTCTATGGGGGTAATTAACCAAGACAGAGAATTGGTATTCAAAATGTTCAAAAATGTCCCAAACTAAATCGACAATGTCAGAATAGTCAAGACAAGTATATACAGACCAAAAAAAAAAAAAAGGCTAAAAGACAATATGAAATGAAAATAGGCTAAAAGGTTTGCTCAGGCTCCACATATATCTCCAGCAATGTATCATCATATAAGGTTTTGAAGACATGCCTTTCATTACAATATAATGTATTCTTTACTGCCAGAAGGATTTTAAGATTATTGGATGTTTTTTTTTTAAAAAAAAGGCACAGGATGCAATCTCGGCAATACAATACAATGCAACGGAGGCTAGATTGCTTGGGACTTTTCTGTGACAACAGAACCGTAAAGTATTTTCAATACTTTCCAAGCAAGAATAAGGAGAGCCCTGTCCTCTCCTCTCGCCCCTTCGCCTCTACCTCTTCCCGCAGGTACTCGCAGCGCTCCGCGTGAGGCTGCCCGGCTGCCCAATTCTTTTGCTTCCTCTTCATCTGCCGGTCGAAAGGGCTGAGGGCTCCAGGGCCCGTGGCGGGACGGGATCCCAGAGCCGCGGGCGCCGAAGGGGCGAAGCGGCGGCGGAACCAGAGGCCGCCTGGTGTGCCTCCTCTCGCCGTGGCTGACTGCAGACGGCAAAGGCACGACGCCCGCAGAAACGCCTTCGCTTCCATTGCTCCGCCGGCGCCAGCTTTGCAAAGACTGCTAGAGCTAGAAAAGAGAGAGCAAGAAACGCCTGTCGGGTTCGCAATATCCGCCTGCGTCGGGCTCAGGTCATTTCTGAACGCTTAGCTTGGAAGATAGAGGGGGCGGGCAAAGCTATTTGAAATGAATGGGAGGAGAGGGTTGATCATTCATACTGCATATTTCAGTAGCGGAAACAGTCGTGTTTGTTTGTTTTTTTAAATATATCTGAAAGGGAAGTTTCTTAACTTAGGGGGCTGGACTAGAAGACCTCCAAGGACCCTTCCAGCTTATTCTATTCTATTCTAAAAGTAAAGATAGACCCAGTTTGAATTGCTTGAAAAGGAGAGTTGGGGAAAGCATAATAAACCCTCACTCCTGAACGCACCCCACCAGCTTCTTTTTATGGCTTTAGGCTATTTCAGTCCACTGTGATGATCCTTTGAAAAGTAGAGAGAGGCTAAAATCAATGCACTTGAATAGAAGTTGGCGCAAGATTGCTATGTAGTGTACAAGCTTCCTTGACTCAGCAAGTGGATTAAAATTCGGAAAGGACGAGAAGCAATTGGGGAGAAAAAAGCAGTAAGTGTCTGTATCAGTTACAGACGGGGTTTATCTAAAGTTTAGGGTTTAGATTCTAAACCATTATGTGCAAAACCAACCGACTGGTTTATTCAATAAGCCATAAACAAGGGTTTAGTATGAAGTGTGAAATCAATCCTAGCCTGCTTTTGCAGGACACCCAGAACCACCCAACTAACCTTCCCTCTGGCTTCTAGGAAGAATATTAGTTTGCAATTTCTGCTGACTTGCACCCTAAGGAAATAATACAAATAACAGAATAACATTAAAAACGACTTAGAATATTATTTACACATTTAATGCATCCCAGCTATTGAACAAAGCCAATTGCTAGGATTCAGCAACAGCCTGAAATATAAAGTTCTCATCGGCTCTGTTTACATGACATATTGAGCTTCAAGTTACCCAATCACAATTTATAGAGGCATGCAAATTCAGTGTAAGAAAACTAAGTTGTGATTGCCTAAGGCTTCTCTTTCAGCCTCATTGTAATTAAAATATTGGAGCGCTGCATCTCTGAGCTCCAACCTGAATGGTGAAATGCACTACAGTGTTATTGTAAGTTGTATCTCTGTGTCCCCTCCCGTTGTTATACAGGGACAGGAACCAAATTATAATTGCATTTCTAAGTCTTTTTCTGCTCCAGCATTCAATGCATAGATGACAGTGCTGGTCTATGCTGAAGGATAAATTACAACCATGAACCAATGCTTCATGGATTTGTGTTATAAAAACAAAAACGATAGAGGGGTTGAGGAAGTTGATTACAATCCAGATTTTTAAAACGACCCAAAATAGTAGGGACTGAAATTTCCTTTAATGTAGTTCTTTGAAATAATCAAAACATGTTCGGTCTAATGGCTTCCAGTGAAGCAATGCTTCCTCTTTTTTTTCCTCCTCTCTCCACCCCCTCCCCGTCTCCGAACCTCCGGTACCTTTACGAAGTTAAGGTAATTTTGTCTCTTTCCAGTCGCCGTAGGAAATGACGTAAATTCTCTGCGCACGGAAGTCGTTTCGATCCGTGCGATCAACGCGGGGTCCGTACAGGCGAGTGGATATATTGGTAGACTAGCGCGATTGACACGTAAGTAAGTGTGATTTTTACCGGGAGGCGTTACGGGGTTGTGAGATTCCCGCGAGGGTGTTTTCTTTCCTTCTCTGTTGTCTCGTGGCTCAGGTATAGATACTGGGACCTTGGTTTTCATTTCCCTTCGCGTTGCACGTTGTTGATTTTTGTTAAGTGAACACCGGATTCAACTCTGATTCCCGCAACATGATAAATTAAAATGATGTTTGATGTTAACTAACGTGGAATAGCTGCTGCGTTGTTACATTCTCCATTAAAATACACTAGTACCTGTTATTTCCATGCATGGTATATTGGTTAGGATCCATGAAGGCCCTGCCTTCAAAGCTCAGTCCTAAGATTTATTGCTTGGTTTTTGGCTAGTGTTTTAAGTTCTGCCCATCCCACTATATCTGTGGAAAGTAATATGAGAAAGGATCATAAATATAGTTTAATGACAAGGCTTGATCTTCTAATTAAAGGATGTAAGTGTAACATATGCATTGATAAATGCATAGCACATTTATTCAAGTCTGTTAGGTTTGATATGCATATAAATGGAACCAAAGCAACTTGAAATCTTTTTCAGTGTTATTTCAATTTATCTGCCTCAACATAGGTGGACTACCTAATTCAGGGGTGAAATTCAGCAGGTTCTGACAGGTTCTGGAGAACCGGTAGCGGAAATTTTGAATAGTTCGGAGAACCGGCAAATATCATCTCTGGCTGGCCCCAGAGTGGGAATGGAGATTTTGCAATATCCTTCCCCCAGGAGTGGGGAGGGAATGGGGACTTTGCAGTATCCGTCCCCTGCCACTCCCACCAAGCGATGCCACACCCACCAAGCCACGCCCACAGAACTGGTAGTAAAAAAAATTGAATTTCACCACTGTACCTAATGTTATCCTTAATTGGCCTAAAAATGTTGGAGGGCACTTAAGGGCAACATACAGTTCCTCATAGGGCCTAGATGCTGAATTTATTGCATTCCTAATTTAAAGCATCACAGATATCAGCTCTTTGAGGATGTTTATGTAAAAATTTGTTTGGCTGCATTTATTAATGGAATGTTTTACATCTATTGCATATTTGTAACATAATGTCACACTAATTTGAACTGTTTAGAAGAGGGCTGTCAAACTCATGTCACAGCAGCATCACGTGACGTATTGGGATTTCCCCCCCTTCTCTAAACCGGATGTGGGCATGGCAAGCGTGTGATGCATCTGCCCTGCGAGCTGGGAGTTTGACAGCCCTGGTTTAGAACATACATTCAGTGGCTCTAGTAGCCATACACATCTCAAGAAAAATATCTTAAGTAATCTGCTGGTGGACAATACTGTGGTTCTCCAGAATTGGGATGGTAGCATTCTGACATCTATCCAAACTATAAAAGGATAGTGCTGGGCCAGCAGGCAATAACAATAGTTGCATGCATTATGAATTTCAAAATATTTTTCCCAGGCAATAATATTCCATCTTTGAGATGGCATGACTAGACTAGCAGAAGAGGAAGCTGAAACCACTCACAGTTCTTGCACCTTAATTTGCTGTATGGCTTAAAACATGAAAATTAGTGAATCTTATTGAAAGAAGCATTTCACATTAATATAGCAGCCATTATAGATACTTTTACTTTTTAGGAGAATTTTTTGAAACTTTGGTTTCTATTCCATCTGTCCCATTTCCTGGGGGAAGTAGATCAGCTATATTCATATACCTTGTGATGATGTCTAAATTAAACTACAATTTTACAGAAGATTGAATGTATTTTCCTATTTATGATATGCTTCTGAAAATTTCTATTATCAAAAATAATGTCTTTAGTCTTTATGGAATGCGCCTTTTTAATTTTTTATAACTTTATTAAGTTTCAACAAAAAATATAAGGAAGCAGAAAAAAGAAATTAGGCAAAGAAAAGATGAAAATAGCAAAATTAGGAGTGCAGAAAAGAAAAAAAAAGGAAGAAAGAAAAAGAGTGACTTCCACATTTTTTCAGTAGAGATAAAATATAAAATATATTAACCTCTTACTCTGAAATTAATAATACACAATATTTTTATAATCATAAACAATTCTAATACTCAAATTCCAAAATTAAAGTTCCCTTATTTCAGTTTCAAGCAAAACTTCAAAAAAAGGTTTCCAAACAAAAGCAAAGCAAGACGAAATCATTTTTTAAACCAAAAATGTTAATTTTTCCATCCCAGCCAATTTCATCAATCTCATCCATTCTTCCATTGTAGGAATTCTTCCGCAATAGAAGTCTCACTGCTATTGTCATATATAGAAACAAAATCCCATATGTTCTTTCAGTCTATTTATTTATTAAATCTTAAAGGAAAGTCTCTGGTTTTAATTGTACATTTATTTTAAGACTTCTCTAAACTAAAGTACATAACTGATCACAATATTTCTTAGCTTTGTTACATGTTCACCAAAGATGATAAATATTGCCTTCCTGTTGATTGCATTTTTAACATATATTTGATGCTCCCTTATACATTTTTGATAATTTATCAGATATCAATGATACTTCATCTTATAAAAAGATTAATAGGATTTGTATACTAATGATGAGCATGTTATTGCTTAAGATGTATAAACTTTTATTGAAAATGAATATAGAACATAAATGAACATGAAAGACTATATGATTAAATGGGCTAAAAATTTTGGATACAATATAATGCCTGATTAATGTGAGAATATGTGGAGTAAATTTATATTGAATTATAATTTGAACTATTTTAATTTTAGAAGATCGCGTTTCTTATTTTACGATATAATTTTTTCTTTATTTTCAGGTTCAGGTTTGTTGCATTTTTTTAAAAAAGCAAGAATGGCATCTAAGAAGGAACTCACGAGTGACAAGCGGTTTTCTCGCATCACAAAAGACCCTCGGTTTTGGGAAATGCCAGAAAAGGACCGCAAGATCAAAATTGATTCAAGATTTCGGGCTATGTTTCATGACAAAAAATTCAAGTTGAAATATACTGTGGATAAGCGAGGTCGACCAATTAATCGTACCTCTACGGAGGACCTGAAACGTTTTTATGAACTTTCTGATTCAGATTCTGATATTTCAGAGACTGATAGTAAGCAGACTGAAAAGAAAACAAATCAGAAAAAGGTCAAATCTAAAGGGGGAAAAAGTTCCACAAAGTCTTCGGTTGGTAGGCAAACAAGCAAGCAGGCAGATGAGGTTTCATCTGTCTCACAGTCAGATATTTTAAAAAGTGATAATCAGAAAGGCAAATCGTTTAAATCAGAAAAGGATATAAAAAGGAAAAAAGCAACTGAATTTCCACAAGACTTTACAGTAGCACCCCCAAAGCAGAATAATTGTGATGAAATTTCTAAAGATTTTTTATGTAAAAAATCTTCAAAGAAGACTTTGAAGAAGTCTTTGAAGAAAAAGACAAAGAAGACTGTAAAAGAAAAAGCAGTGGGAAATTACAGTAAGTAAAATAATTCAGGCCATTGAAAAAGTGAATAAGGTTGGTTGAATGTTCTGTAATTGTCATTTACATCAAGTTTATTGCTCCTTGGATGGGGGAGCTGTCAGAATCGCCCCATGATTTATAGCTAATGAATTTGAAACCATCCAAAACACACAATATGCTTCTTTTAAATCTTTAAACTAGCTGACAACCTTCATGTTGTTATGGAACCATACTATTTCATTAAGCATAGTTTAAGAAAACAGTGCTCTGATGTGTACCACCCACATGATTTATGTAATACTAATGACTTCTCAGATTTGTAACATGCCTGGTTCCAGTAAAGATAATAGCGACAAAGCTGTAGAATTTATTCAGATACTGATCATTAACTGTCCCCCCAAAAATTGCTAGGTAAATAGATCCACGATAGTACCTTCACATTTGGAATGAGGCATTGAATATAGTAATTTTAATGATGTTATTAAGATATTGGTTCTCATTCTGCTTTATTGTAATTCTGGTGTTTGTTTTATTGCCATACTTTATTTCTAGTGGAATATTTTGGCTTAAGGCAGAGATCTCATTCGTACTGAATATGTGGATTGATTTTGTGTCGTCATATCATATTTTACTCCTAGCAACTCATATTTTTCCATGACTATCCATCTATCCATCCATCTATTTAAATAGATAAATAAAGCAGATTTCCTAATATAAATTTGTACTGCTCTTTGCATATACCAATTTTAGAAATGCAAAGTAGCCAATATATCAGCACCTTAATTTATTGCAATTCATGTGCTTATTTAGATAAAAAAAAAATTAGGACTTAGGCAAACCAGCTAACTCTTATTTTTATGGCACTTTTGGCTTTTTGAAGTGACATTATTATGGAAATTTCTTTTAACTGCTCAGGGAAAATGGGTAATTGTCTATGACAGTTATTATAAACATGCTATTTATAAGCTGTTATTGGGCAAAAAGTCATGTTCAGTTTGTGAAAGCGCTCTCTCCCTCTCCCCCCCCTTACAAAAACACTAGACTGTAGCGTGGGAAATAAAAAATTATTGTCATGAATTCTTTTGCAGAAGAATTACCTTGCAAGTATATGAAATGTCTTGTTGGCTTTCTTTAATTTAGCAAATGATTTCTCTGCCAGCCATGTTAAGGAGGCATATGTGAAAAATAAAAGTTGTGAAGTTGAAGAGAGTTCTAATCTGCAAGAGTCAAAAAGCAGTGAGGAAAGTGAAGAGGAAGATAAATTAGAAGATAATAGTGATCTGCAAGAGGAAAGTGATTTGGGAGATGAAGGAGCAATAAGAGAGGAAAGCACTTCAGAAGATGATGAAGAAGATTCAACGAATGAAAGTCAAACGGAGGATGATGAGAGTGAGAGTGGGCCAGATTTGGCTAGGGGGAAAGGTAATCTTGAAACCAGCTCTGAGGATGAAGAGGAAGATGATTTCTTGGAGATATTTCCCAAAGATCCAGAAGTTATACATGAATGGGGAGAATTGGGGAAAGATGCCCCACAAGCAGATCAGGTAAGGTTACTGATACAATAAGCAATCTCTGATCCTTTAGGATGTTGAGTTGAATCAATTACGAATAGTCAATGAACAGGGATGATAGATTATTCCAACAACATTTGAAGGACTACTGCTTACTTGCCCTATTTAATGAATCTTAAGGGCCCACTATTTTAATGTATTATTTCATTGCTATTTGCAATATCCAAGATATTTTTCTTTTTTTTCTTCCATTCAATCATATCCATTTCTCAATCCTGGACAAATCCCTGCAGTTTTTTTGGCAAGGTTTTTCAGAAGTGGTTGTTTGCTTGATCGCTTTCTAGGACTTAGGAAGATATTATGCACAATTTCTCTAGCACCTGAAAGATTCCACGTGATTGGTGTACACAGTAACAGTCCAAATAAAACTTACTCAAGAACTTCATATGCTAGATGAGTTTGTACATTAGCTTCCTATCTTACAGTCCAGCCTCTCAGCCTGCATGATATTTACAGCTGGTACAACCTTCCACTTCTAGGTATCACTGCATCTGCTCACCCAAACTAAGTTGGGGTGCCTATCAAACGATTTCTTCTTTGGGTATATTAATGAAGCTATCCACACATGACGGAAACATTTTCTCAGTCTTTAAATTGGGTAGAGGGAAAAGGAATCTTCCATTATTGCCCCATTATTTAGATAGAGCATAAATACCATGCAGTATCTCAAATCTTTACAGCTATTTTATTCAGTCACTTATTAGGGATAGTATACATACACCTATCTTTATACATTCTCTGTGCCTTTGTCTCTCTGCTTTTGTGCATTTATATGGTGCCATTTCTTTGTGCCAGTCTCCTCTCTGGACTTTGTGGGATTTATGTTTGTTCCCTCTGTGTTTGAGTGTGGTTTTCTTTCTGACTCTGCTATCTCCCTTGCTGTGTCTGTCCTCTGTATGTCTCTCCTGCTTGTCCATTTCTCCTTGTGACAGTTTGTATCTGAAAGAGAATAAGGGGGGTGGGGGGGAGAAATGTTTTCCCTGTTTGTGTTACTGATTGTACTTCTACTAGGGTCATTTTGTAATCGCCATTACTTACAAAATAGTTGCACTCACAAAAATTTGTGAGTGCAACTATTAAAAAATACCAGATGTATTTATAATAATACCAGATGTATTAAAACTTTAAAAAATAGCAGATGTAAACATTGGATTCAGAATGTTGCCTGTCCTTGTCCTACAAGTCTGTGAATAAAAAAAAAAAAGAATGATTTCTCTTAGTTCATTGACTCAGGGAAAAATAGCATCACCAGAAAGGATTGTCTTGTATATTTAAATATATTACTCTAATCTGTGTTATCAGTCACTGTTGTTTTAAGGCAGGAGTGTCAAATTGGATTTCTTTGAGGGCTGGATCAGCATTGTAGTTCTCCAAAGACCGCCTCGGGGGGAGGTGGAGGTGGGATGGATGCCTCCTGCAGCACCCTGCCGGCCAAAACGTGGCACAACGAGGGTGCATGTGGCCCCCTGTACCCTGTTTTTAGCCTGGACGGCCTCCTGCAGCCCTCTGCCAGCCAAAACAGAGCCTGGGGGAGGCACATGCTGCCCCCCCGCACCCCAGTTTGGCTGCCAGAGGCACCATAGGCCAGTCCTTTGCTATTTCCAGGCTGGGCCCATGGGCCAGATTTAAACACCCGGCGGACTAGGTCCAGCCTGCGGGCCTTGAGTTTGACACCCCTTTTTTAAGGAGTGACTTCAACTGACTTGGATGTGATTTATAGTTCTTCAGTTATGGGCTTGGTTGAGAGAGCAAAGTTAAGTTCTGATTTTAAGCCTTCCATCTTCTACTCCAGTTCAAGGCAAGACATTTTGTAGCTTTCCAATTAAACTGTGTTTTCCCCTGCTAGATACAAACCTACATTCACAGCTGAATTTTGAATGATAGGCCCAATCATAATGTTTCTGTGCATCATATTATCCTATTATAAATTACTTTTTTTTGATGCAGGTCACACACAGACTGGCAGTTTGTAACATGGATTGGGATCGCTTGAAAGCGAAGGACCTACTGGCTTTGCTTAACTCATTTACACCCAAAGGTGGTGTTATTTTTTCTGTAAAGGTAAGCACTTGCAATAAATACCTATTCAGATCAGGAACAGCCAGGGAAATAAATGCCTTGTTGTCATTTTGGTAAGAGACTGGGAGGAGTTTTGAAAACAGCACTTTCTTCTTTCCCTTTGACTGGAACACTGGCAAGACTGCAGCCGCAGCATCCAGATAAGAAAGGGAAAGAAATTGATTAATTGATTGATTATGTGCCATTTAGCATCAACTCTTAGCAACCACATACTATATATAGGTTTTCTCTGTTATCGTCTGTTCCTACCCTATACTTTTAGATCACTGTAACTCCGTCCATCCATCTTGCTGCTGGTTGTCCTCTTCTCTTTTCCTGCATCTTTTCCAATACTAGAGCCTTCTCTAGAGAACTGGGTCCTCATAATGTGTTCAGAATAGAAAAAGTACAAAAATGAAAAATATCCAGAGTGGACATTTATCCTTAAGTATGAATGCTATACTGTATTTTTTTGTGTGTGTTTATGTATTCATTCAGATCCAGATTATGTATTTTCATTTTTTAAGCAGTGGTGTAAGTATAGATTAGAGTCTAATTAGCTGTTCTGGGAAGATATTCATACTCTACTACCGAATCACTTGAAGTTATTCTATTTATAGATACATGTGTTAGGATGTATATAAGATAAAAATAGAGACTTCCTTTTTTGTTTAGTTTTTCATAGCTTTAGTGATAGCCTGGTGGTGTCGTTTTTTTTAAAAAAAATATTCCATCTGAACTTCTTTTTATAATCCTGGTGGTTTGATAGCAAAGAAAACGTAAAAAGCTACTACATGGTGTATATCTTCATTTTGTTACTCTTTAGATTTACCCTTCAGACTTTGGAAAACAGAGAATGAAGGAGGAAAAACTAAAAGGCCCTGCAGAACTGTTAAGCCTTCCTCAAAATGTCACAGAAAAAGACAGGTATTTCATGTTGAATTTTGGATGATTCCTTGCATACCCTTTTCTATGCATTAAGTGCATTTAATTTCTTTTGTTAAGGGTTCCTTTTACATGGTCCATAAGGATTTGATCCAGAGTTGCTTTAATCTTCCTCCCTTCCTCCCTCTGTTTCTAAATAGACTTTGGAAAGTTCTGGGCAAAACTGATTAGCACTCAAGGCAGTGCTTTTAATTGTGATTCCTGAGCAAACGTAATAATGGAATAAAAAGAAAGCTTACCTTTCTGCTAAAGAATGGAAGACATAGAGTAGCAATAATCAATTGAAATAACATGGCTATCAAAATGATACCTATTGACATAGACTTTAGAAGCCATATTCTACGTGCTCTTATTTACCGTGCTGCATACTTTGTATTGCTTAAATTTAAATTTCTGTTCTGTATATGCCTATATACAGTGTATATACTGTTAGTTTCGCCATTGCTGCATATTCTCCAAATTTAAATTCCCAATCAGATATTGTTGGTACTGTGTCTTTTTTTCTAAACTTTCCAAAGTTTGTCCTTGTAGCCATAGGCATGTACCTTAATAAATTATGATACTTTTTTGTTTTCTTAATGTATCCTTGAAGCTGCAGTTACAAGTTGAATGCTTCTCATTTCTGAAATAACTTTGGAATTTTGCATAATGTGTTTCACCACTAGGTGGAATCTTTCTCCAATATATAGAGGCTTTCTAATTTATTGGTATTGGTATATGTGACTACTCAGTAATAAAATCAAAAAGTGTGTGGTGAGAGGAAGTTTAGTTATTTCATTTGTTCATTGCTACTATTAGTACACATCCTGATTTCTAAGTTTAGAATGTAGTATTGCAGGCTAATTCTGCTGACTGCAGACTGCCAGCAGTTCAGCAGTTGGATCTTGACCGGCTCAAGGTTGACTCAACCTTCCATCCGTAAAATGAGGATCCAGCTTGTTGGGGGCAATATGCTGACTCTGCAAACCACTAAAAGAGGTCTGTAAAGCACTATAAAGTGGTATATAAGTCTTAAGTGCAATTGCTGTCAGATGATATCAATGGTAGCCACTTTTCCAGAGGACTCTCCATTTTTAGGTTGTAAATTGTAGTATAATGAACAGAACTGTAGCTTATTATTTATTTCATTATATATTCATTAAGAAAATTTTAATAGCCACACAACTCACAGTGACTCTAGGCAGCTTACAGAAATAAAAGCCCATTGCAAAACCCAATAAACCCCCCACCCTTCTGGTGACAACGATCAAACCAACCACTTGATGAGCTCCATGTCATCCAGGAGTCCCCAGTTTTACTGGTAAAAACCATGTCTTCAGGGCCTTTCAAAAGTGTGCCAATCTTCTTTCCTTCTACTACAGAGAAGACCCTTCTTCTTAGTTCCACTAGATGGACCTTCTTAGGAGAGGGGAACCGTAACATCCCCTGCTTTCCCGCTCTAGTGGGTCAGGTAGATTTAATTGGGAAAAGATGGTCTTTCAAATAATCTGACTCCAGGCCATGTATGGCTTTAAAGGCGACAACCAGCACCTTGAATTGGACCCCAAGCAAATCGGTGCAGATCCTGCAAGAGAGGTGACACATATGCAAATTTAGACTTGCACAAAAGCATGTAGGCCACTACATTTTGAACTAACTGCATTAATATATATTTGGATTTCATCAGGAAATGTTTTTTGATGTTCAATATTGTGATATATAAGTATCTCAGAACACAGAATTGCCTAACACTGCCAAAGCAGAGCAAAAGTTTTCTTTCGAAGAACAGTAAATGCTTTTCTCAAATAAAAGTAAATTCGTTTCTGATTGGTTTTTTTTCAATGGAGGGCAAGTCCAGTAAAACACATGCTACAACTTGCCTATATTTTTAAAAAGCCTTTTTTTAGCCATGTTGCTAGATTCTTGGCTGATAAATGTACCATTCCTGTACAGGTGTGCTGTGCATTGGTGTTATACTATAATGTAGAAAACTATTTATAAATAAATAAATATAGAATATTTAAATATTTAAATAAATATAGAAAAGATGGCTAAGATTCAAAGAGGGTTGTTAATAGTTCAGAATATGTTTGTGTAACACTGAATTTGTATGTCTCAGGTAGCAGTTGCTTTTGAAAATGAGGTACTTTTTAAAAGGTATGGTTTAGGGAATGCTATTCAAAGGATGAATGTGGGGGGGGGGAATCCTTTGGGTGATTGTAAGTTGCAGATAAATTGTCTCTATATCCCAAACTACAAATAGAGGACTACCAAATAGATGCATGGTATTATATATATAGTATATAGAAACCTTGCAAATTCTTCACTTATCCCTGCAAATACCAAGAGCGTTAGGAATATTTATTATCTCTGTGCTTTAATCCTAGCTAATGCTTTTTCCCTTTTAAGATGGAAATGATATGATAGTATATTGCTTCTCACTGCCTCTTTTTCTCTAACATTTATTTATATATTGATTTATATATCAAACTTAACCACCCATCTTGCCTCATACTACTTTTCTCATTCCTTGTAGCATTTATAAGGAGAAATTGAGAGACTATCAATTCAAACGCCTGAAATATTTCTATGCAGTAGTTGACTGTGACTCCCCGGAAACAGCCAATAAAATATATGAAGAGTGTGATGGACTGGAATTTGAAAGCAGCTATTCTTTTGTGGACTTGAGGTATCGTATATTTATTTTTAAGAGCTAGTTTGGTTTGACCAACTTCTAATTATTTTTCTCATTACAAAGCAAGAAAAATGTAACAGTTAGCTTTCAGGACTTTGATTGTAACCTGGGTTCCCACCTACAGAAATGTATTTAATTTCCTCATGTTCTCTTGATGGTGTTTTGACCAAACTGAGTTTGATACGTGTGTCTCAAATCCATGTAAAACACTAGATATTTTGTATGGTTGCTATCTGCTTTAAAGTGGTTTATCCAGTGGTGAAATCTGAACTGGTTTATTACTGGTTCGCTGGCTGCACAGTGCGTACCACATGCCAAATGCAAGGTGTGCGCGCGCAGTGCACGCCAAAAGAAGCATGAGGTAAGTAGAACAGCGCGTGAGGGGGATGATCAGCTGTGGCGCGCAATCTTTTTTTTTACTTTTAAAAGGTTTGCTTTTAAAAGTTAAAAAAAAGCCTCTGATGATCGTGCTGCTCAGCTGTGATCATCAGAGGCTTGTTTTACCTTTTAAAAGCATTTTTTCTACAACCTCTCAAAGAGGTTGTAAAAAAAATGCTTTAAAAAGGCTCTGATGATCCCAGCTGAGCCACGCGATCATCAAGAGGCTTTTTTTTTTTTTACTTTAAGCCTCTGATGATCATGCGGCTCAGCTGGGATCATCAGAGCCTTTTAAAAGCATTTTTTAACAACCTCTTTAGCCGAAGAGGTTGTAGAAAAAATGCTTTTAAAAGTAAATAAAAAAGCCTCTGATGATCACGCGGCTCAGCTGGGCCTTGTGGGGGGCAGGGATTTTTGCTACCGGTTCTCTGAACCACCTGCCACCATCGCTACCGAATCGGGCGATCCAGTCCGAACCGGGAGCATTTCACCCCTGGGTTTATCCAAACTGTCAGTTATACTAAGTTACAACTCTTGCAATTGCTATTGGGCATGCTGGCTAGGAAATATTGGAACTGTGATCAGGCATAACAGGAGGGCTGTAGAAAGCTATCAAAAGGGTTGGTTGAAGACACAAAATTGTGTCTGACCATTGACATGGTCCATACCTTCTGGATTAATGTATGGATTGGAAAATAGTTGCCCACAATCTTTTGCACTTTCTGAGTATTCCACTGAATTTTCAGTTTCTTAACAGAGAGAAGATGCATATTAGAAACTGATATTGGGTGAAAGAGAATCCTTTAAAAAAACAAAATAAATAGAATGAACATATGGTAATGCAACAGCAATGTAAAGCTCACTGCTAATCTTTAGATTTAAGCTGCTTCCTCCGTCCTCGCTCTCCACTGGAGAAAAAAAAACCTGGAATCTGGGTAGTGGTTAGGATTGTCCCCCAGATTAAGTGTTTTTAGCATTAATGATAAGATCAGATTATTATGAATTCATTATTATTAATGATAGGATTGCTGCAAATGACCAAAACCACTGGAAAACACTTGCTGCCCAATGTGCTCTGCACAGGAGATGAGGAGGAGGAGGATAAGTGTTGCATTCACCCTGATGGGCTTCTCATGAGTAGTCCAGATTAGAGAAAGCACAAGGACAGGTGTTTCTCATGATGAGAGAGCCCAGAGCTGACTCCGTCACCTTCTTTTATTATACCAGGGTATAGGGCGTATCAGAAGAGAGAACGAATAGGGCCCTTCAGAGAGTATCCATATGAACCCGCTTTTCATAGTCAGATTATTTCGGTGCCAAGCTCCATACAGTGCCCAACCAGTTAGACTGGTCTATACATGTACTATGGCCACCTGATTCCCACAGATAAGATGATGATGGTGGTGGTGATAGGATCAGTATCATTTTTCAGTTCCTGTTCTGAGTAAAAGGCTAACATTTTCTGTTTGTAATTCCCCCTTCTCTTATCCAGTCATTGCTTTTTTCACGGCTAATACTTGTTTGAAACTAGGCCTATCAATTTTGTCTATTTAAGGCATGTTTAATAATAAGCTGTTTTCTTCTGACTCCTAAGATTTATTCCAGATGATGTGACATTTGACGACGAGCCAAAGGACATGGCCTCTGAATTGGACGTGGCTGCTTATAAACCAAAGTACTTCACATCCGCTGCTGTGGCAACATCAAAGGTACCTTAACAATGTTTTTATAGCTATTTAGAATTTTGTTTAGCTTTGTGTGTTTCATTTGTAAATATAGCAGTGGTCAGAGTGTAGCTGGAAGGGGGAAATAACTCCATATGTGTTGATGCAATATAAATTGTACTTGCAAAAGAACAAAAACAAGAGCTCTTCTTGGAGAGGATAGTAGTACTTAGATAATGAAATAATAGGGCAGCAGTTTATTATAATTCTGATTTTATGAAGACATCATGCGAGCTTTACATTGCTTATTTTTTGTCATTTTAAAGACTGCCTTTGAAAGCCAATTTAAAAAGTCTAGAAAGTACAGGTTTTGATTCTAAGCGGGGTTCCATTCTACTGCAACAAATCACAAAGAGCAATAACTTCATTAAATCTATCTCTGTTTCTCTATCACTATGTACAAGTAGTCCTCGACTTACGCCCGCAATGGAGCCTCATATTCTTGTTGCTAAGTCGTGAAGTTAATTTTGCCCCATTTTAGACGACCTTTCTTCCCACAGTTGTTAAATGAATCGCTGCAGTTGTTAAATTAGAAACACAGTTGTTAAGTGAATCTGGCTTCCCCATTGATTTTGCTTGTGGGAAGGTCCCCAAAGGTGATCAAATTATGCTGGGACACTGCAATCGTCATAAATAGGCGTCAGTTGCCAAGCATCTGAGTTTTGATCACATGGCTGTCGGATGCTGCAACAGTCTTAAGTGTGAAAAATGGTCATCAGTCGCTTTTCAATGCCGCTGTAACCTTAAATATTCACTAAATGAACTGTTGTAAGTTGAGGACTACCTGTATATTTGAACCAGGAGTTCAGTCTATGGGAATTGAAAATTCCAAAGCCTGCATTTGTCCTTTTCCTTCCGCAAGCACTTCATTCCATATAGATGGTCTCTGCATGGTCTTTGTGGATTCCTCTTTGTTTAATGGAGTTTCTGTGGGTTTCACATGGCTCACCGCTTACCCCGTGGGATGCACAATGATTGAAGCAGCAGCAGCAATAGCAGATTTATTGAAGAGACAACCTAACCCCAATGAAACTTGCACAACTTATGCTTGCACAAAAGGCAGTGTGCCTTTTGGGGAACACATGAAGTAACAGAAAGCCACTCAGACTTGTGCAACCCACTGATGCATGAAAATCTTGTTTATTGAGGTCTGGCATCTGTTAAATTTGGATATATTATACTGTATATACCAAGACTACTTGTATTCCCTTTTTAGTGATTTTTCTTTCCCAGTTAGTGGTAGAATAGAGGAGCATTTTTTTAAAGTGACATGCATGGATTCATTGCCTTGGTCTTCAGTCCAGTGAATCTGTGATGGAATTTTTGAGTGGAGAGCAGTTCCCATCCTTTCCTACCATTGGCCACTATGGGGCTTAAGTTTGAGAAGTCCTGTCTTAAATTATAAATTACAAATGAACCATCTATCAATAGCTGCAAGGCTCATATTAGAAGAACCTGAATGTTTAATTTAAAAATGGAAGCCTGTTTTCAAACTTCGTTCTTTGGACTGAAATAACCAAATGCATGTAGTTATTATCTGGAAAGACTCGATAACAGGAAATGCTTTGGACAACCCTTTCTATGATTTAGTCTGTTGTCCTAGTAACCAGCTTCTTACCTGTCTCCAATGATCAGCCCCAGTTACTGTTACTTTAATAAGGCCCAGGTGACTAAAATATTCCAATATCTTGATAAATCTGAGGAAAGGAAAATAAGAAGGATGAAGTAATACGCTGGCCATCTTCTCACTAGCATTAGTTGCTGTATTCTATTCAAAGTTAGAGCTGCTCTGACAACCTATAAGGAAAGGCAGACATAACTTTCCCACTTTGGCTCATTCATCTTTAGATTTCTGTTCTTTTTTTTTTTTTACGACCGTGAATCCCTTGCTTTAGGATGGGGTCAGGGTAGCTGAATGGAGCTGAGTGTTTATTGGCTGGATGCCCTTCCTAATACCTACACGGAGTTCACAGCAGATATTTTCTCTTTGTGCCCTGATAGAGAAACATTTGTTGCTGCCTAGGATTGAACTCTCAACCTTCCAAGTGGGAGGTGAGCGTCTTCACCTCTAGGCCACCGCACCACTCATAGATTTCTATTTCTTACTCAATACATTTTGTTTCAGAGACTTCCGGTCTGGTTTCCGTAGCCACCAGACGGTCCTCCGTGACCGCCAGCCCCGTTGCCTGTAAAGAGCCGCCTTTACACCTGAAAGGCGGCTCGAAAAACTCCATTTCCTGATGGAAATGTGAGCCAGAGCAGGCGAGGGCAGGTAGAGCCCTCTGCGAAGTCCCCAGAGTTTTTTTTTTACTCTTGGGGACGAGCAGAGCGGGGCTCCCTATTTTCCCTTGCCGCTGCTCCAGGCTTCGGGAGGACTCTGCCTTTTCGCAGAGCTAGGCGCCGGGACCGGACCAACTAATAAAATAACAGATGGTTTAGTTCAAGAGAGCGAGACTTGTACCTGGGACCCTAAATCGCAAGTATTTTTAATGATTTTACAAGTGTTTCTAATTGAACGGGAAAAAATAAGTTTAAAATGGCGACTGCTGAGGCTTGAGAAGAAAGCCGAAAGTGAAAGTCCTTCCGTAATAAGCTACAAAGTAGCGAAATACTCAGTGCCGGCTAGAATCTAGAAGGAAAATATTCATATTAAGTTTCTTTTTTTGGGGGAGATTTCTACTTGATCTTGTTTGGGGAAAAGTTTTCTTTAAAAAAAAAAAGCTTTTTTGTGTGGCAGGATGGCATTAAAACTGGTGCCTGACAAACAAGCAGTGGGGGGGGGGTGCTCCCCCATTTGCAATTATGTGAACAAGCTTTGAGCTTACAGAAGCAGAATGGTTTTAATTTAAAAGAGTTTCTTCAGGAGGAAATGGCAAATATCACAAGACTGTGAATCAGAAATTTGAAAAATTAAGGCAGGAAATTAAAGAAATGATACAACTAAAATATGATAATCTGCAACGAAAGATTGTAACAGTGACTAATGCTTTTTCGGAAGTTGTTATAAAGATGGATACAAATATCAAATTATTAGAGTCTAAAATGGAGGAAGTTGATGATAAGATTTATAATTTGGACAATAAAATACAAAGAATTGAAAATGATTTGATAAATATTCAAGACAATAGTTTAGAAGTAAAGTCTAAAAAGGAAGCTGGTCACGAGACCTATAATGCAGAAGATATAAAGCAAGGGATTGAAAGAGAAGTTGTAATGATGCAATACAGGCTCACAGAATTTGCAGAATTTGAGAGGGTTACAGGAAAATAATAGAGATGATATAAGAAAAATATCTGCTCAAGTTCTGGCTGGGATCTTAAAGGTTCATCCTGAGGAGGTATCTTGTAAAATTGACAAGGCCTACAGAGTAAATTCTTGGATTGCAAAGCAAAGGCAACTGCCTAGAGATGTGGTGATTTACTTCACAGATAAAGAAATAAAAAATGATATTGTGCAAAAATCCTTTAATTCTACTCCACAACTGTATGGAAGAAAGATCTGGATATATAAAGAATTGCCGCCTAAGATGTTAAAAGATAGAAAGAAATTTGGACTTTTGGTGACTGAGCTAAAAAAACAAAATATCTCATTCAGGTGGGACGTTCCAGTTGGTATAATACTGAGATATCAAGGAGAAAGGTATCAGCTAGATACTGTTGAAAAAGCGAAAGAATTTTACTACAAGGTTCTCAAAAAGCAAAATCAACAAGAGATAGAAATTCAAGATAAGCAGAAGGATGTGGAAGTAATGAAGAAACAACAAGTTACAGAGGTCTCTATAGGTGAGCCGCTTCTGGATTCTCCTTCAGAGGTCTCAGCTGGATTATTTAATACAAGAGAGGCGGCTTTGGATTCTAATGTAATGACTTATCAAGTTACAAACCAGCATGGAAATCAATCAGTTGATATACAATTTATAGAACCAGAATGGAGATTTATGCCACAAAAGCAAAACCAACAAGATCAAGTTATAGATGAGCATGAAAACCAAATAGTTGATATACAATTTACAGAAAGGAAATCAGGATTGAGATCCAACCCACAAAAAGTCAAGAAAAGAAGAAGCAGGTCTTATAAAAACAAAAACTTTTAAATTAAACAACAGTGTAATGCCAGTTATTTAAGAGATGATTGAATATATGAAAAGATAATCGGCAAAGTATTGGTTTATATTATCCTGAGGAGAATGACAGACCTCTGCAGTGCTGTACTTTTGGGAGGTGAAAAGGGCCTTAAACTGAATGGATTGAAACTATCTTTTTTTGGATTCTTTGATAAATATACTACGTTTATCTTGAGCTACAAGGCAAGAGTGTTATGGAATTGAGGCACGCAGATGATCTGGCTGTTACCCTATTACGGTGGTTGGAATTAATAATTTGGATAAAAGACACCACTACAGACACTATATGGAATACAAATATAAAGTCACTCGGGTGGTTTTTTTTTTTTTTGAAGATATTTGCTATTGATGGGGGCAGATGGTAATGGAAGATACCGAACATACTGTTGGAATTAGGATGTGATATTACCCTAACATGGGTGATGGAGTTTACTATCCAGCGGAAAGACATTATAGAAGATATTATATGGATTACAAGCCTAAAGTCTTTTTAAGAGGATTTTATTTACATAAGGGAATATTTTTTAGTGGTGTGGGCAGAAGAATAAAGATACTAAGAATTACTAAGTATGGTAGTCTTGTAGGAAAGTGGGTTGAGACGGGTTAGTTTATTGATTTATTGATTGTTTAGTTTAAGAAAAGGGATATTATGTTTAGATATGAATATATGTAAAAGATTTGAGTTAATTGAATAAATGCTAAATTAGAATTTATTATATAGTTTTATAGCGGAAGGCTTTGAAATGTTATATTAATATACATAAAAGATTTGATTTAAGAGATATATGTATGGGGGTTAGAAAAAGAGTAGATTATGAGCAGAAATCGCTAAACTGGGAGATATAATAATAATATGCTAAATCAGGAGTTATTATATAATGCTATAATAGAATGTCATTTTGAAATGTATAGTATAAGGGGGATATAATAATATTAGAAAGAAAGGGTCAGCATATGGGGGATGGAGTAAGGGGATGGTAAAGTATTATATAATCTGTTATGAATTTGGGTTTTATTATGAAGAAGTCACAGGGGGAGGGGAGGGGGAGGGGAGGTTAGGGAGGAGGGGAAAAAGGGGGGGGGGGGGATTTTTTAAAAAAAAATTTTTAAAAAAAAAAAATACATTTTGTTTCAGTAATATTCAGTAATATTCTGCCAGTGCTTGAAGGTAGGACTTTGCCGGATTCCTTTTGGGTGTAAATTACAGTTCTTAGTACTACAGCTGAATATCTTATGACCCAGAATGGGAACTGGCATTTGTATGATGATTTCTTTGGAATAAGCAAGCTTGCATTTAAATTGTGACTAGAATTTATATAAACTGCTAAAACAATATGCACATGTCTTGGTTTTCGCTCAACATATTGCACAAGCTTAGCCATTGTAATTGATGGCTTCGTATCATGTGAGGAAATACTCATTTAAAGTGTATCCAGTAAACTATTGTTAAGCAAAGTTGTTGACAGAAGTGCAGGAGCCAATTTTTATGTGATTTTACAATGCATTTTTTACAATAATAAGTTGCAGCATATTTATCTTGCCTATTGGTAAGGTAGACATTACGTGGGACGAGACAGATCAAGAAAGGGTGACTTCTCTGAGCAAAAATTTTAAAAAAGATGAACTTCTGGACATGGACTTCCAAGCTTATTTAGCCTCATCAAGTGAAGAAGAAGAGGAGGAGGATGAAAAAGAAAAAGGTATTGCTAACTGATAAAGGTTTATCTAAGCACTTCAGGATGTTAAAACAATATTGTGCTAACAATTTTCATCATCTTTATTAAAAGTTACTAAATTATGCTTTTCATAAATCAAACATTCAGTTCTTTTTTTAAAAAAATATCCTCACCAACACCCATGCTTTACCCAATTAGGAGTTCCATGTGAAACTTCTGAGGAACAAGCATGGGAAACCATATTATCTACTGTACAATAAACCTTCTGATTAACAGGTTCTGTCCCCCGTCCCCCTCCCCCCGCATTATTTTGTGGACATGAGAGGGGAATTATTCCCTTTCATTTTAAACTAAACTGCAGAGCCTTATGATGTCTGAACTCAGATCTATCGAAGTAGGTAGTGAAAAGTAGGTCTTTGACTTACCACCACAATTGAGTCCAGAAACTTGGTTGTTGAGCAAAGCGACATCAGTGAGATGTCGTGTGACTGTTTCACTTGGTGATTGCAATCTCAGCACTCCTAGTTGCGGTTGCTAAGCAGACGAAATCCCGGATTAAGGAGCACACCATGCTCCTTAATGGGTGGGGAGACCCTGGGAGGCTTTGCTCAGGGATTGAAATCCTCCAGGCCAAAATCTAAGCAGGATTTTCAGCCCTTGAGTGAGAGATACTCATGCATGGCCTCCACTGAGCCTTCCAGAGCTTCCCTCACTTGTTTGAGACCATCCAACACTCTTTATCTTGTATTGCCTTTCCACACTCTACTTAGATTTCAGCTTCCTCTTATCTCTAAGGGCTGGCTGAAAAAGCTGCCTGCCAAAAGATGACAGCTCCCTTATGTGTGGAAGGGAATGCCTTTGACAGAATGCAGGAATGGAGCTCAGGTCTTCAGGATC